ATAATAAACTCCCCGAAAAGAAACAAAAGAACATTTTATCCAATACAGAAATTCTATACCCTAGTAAATTTATTATCATTGACCCAATTATTTTTACCCTGACCTAATACACATAAAAAAATCTACAAAACAGCTGAGAATGCTCCAAACACGTCTAAGATAATTTGACTTACATAACAAAGTTCAATGTTAAATTACTCAAGAAATTTCTTTTCAACAAAAATACTGACCAACTTTTTTCTTATTCTAAGCATGAATAGCATTTTAAAAAGAGAGAGCGAGAAAGAGAGCCAACAGAGTTCAACATTTTTTGCATGGCTCGAATAAAATGACTAGTTTAATGTAGCACTCTAGAAAAAAAACAGAAAAGACAACCAAACTGATCAATCAAACTTCTAGAAAAGACAACCAAACCGATCATTCAAACAACAATGTTTATAAAAAAATTTAATTTGCAATTCATACTCTTTTAATTAATTTATTAAACAAATAATAAGAAACATTTAAAAAATATTATTTGGAATTGACTCTCATAAGATTATTATTACAGTTTCCCGTTAACTTATGTTAAATAACAAAATATTCACATAAAATTTTTTATTTAAAACACAAGTTTCTAAGAATAATATAGGTGCAGCGATCTTGTAGTATATATGTATGGTCACTTTATGTTGTTTTAAATCTCTTTATTATTTATATAAATAAAAAACTATTTCACTGCTTTAAATAATATACTATTTTACCTGATTTTGTTAAGATTGAAGAAATTTACCAAATATCAGTGTCATTTTATTTCTTTAATATTTAAATATGTACAATAATATAATAAAGAACGTAATTAGAGTTTAACTTTTTGTAGACTTGTAGACTTCATATATAAAGTATGTATATAACAGAAAACAAATTATTTTGAAAATATTCACAATAGCATGATAATACAGCAAATTTAAACATACAAAAATGCATTCCTTGAAAATAATATCCTCCAGCATAATTGTTTATATAATACTTATTATATATAAAAAAAAAATAATAATTTTCCATTTATACCGTTTTAAATAGTTCTTTTATTGAACAATAATAATCATTAAAAAACTATTAATTAGAATTTACTCTCTCAAGATTATTATTCCAGTATTCTTTTTACGGTGCTTTTATTAAAAAACAAAATATTCAAAATATATATATATATATATATATATATATATATATATATATATATATATATATATATATATATATATATACATATTGTGTCCGAGCACTTAAATAATTGAAAATAAATAGAAACTTCAATCTAACCAATTAATTTTTGTCTAAGTTTTGGGAGTCCTATAAGTTCTAAGTATATGCAAACATTTTCTACACTCCAGTTCAAATAATCTACCAATTTTTTAGATTTTAACAAATGATATATTCATTTATCTTAACAAAAATATTTGCAATATACAATAATATATTTATTTATAATATGGACAATAAAAGCATATAGAAATAAAAAAACTGCTCGAAAAAAAAACAAAAACTTTTCTTTGATGTTAACAACGACTAAAAAAGCAGCTCAAATATTTAAAGAACAAATTAAACACTGTCATGATATTCATTTGTTATTGTTATTATACCATTCTTTATAAATTCATACTAGTCTACCTATACAACGACCGATTAGAAAAATAAAACGGCGTTTACAAAAGGTTTGAAGAACACGAAATTAAAGTTTTTTTTTCGAAGTTTTCCGTAAAATGATTTGAAGAACGTTATGGGTTCTTTGTATTGTTTTGTAAATAAGGAATATTAAGAACCCGTCTCTAAAGAAAATTTTCTCCAAGAACCTTTACGTTCTTTAAAGAACCGACAAAAAACTGCAAAGAACCTTTTCGATTTACAGTGAATCAATACCTACAGAATGGTAATTATAAATGTGTTGATACTCTTTGATAAAATTTAAGCTTTAGTTAAGCAAAGCACGTTATTATATTTAAAACACTTTCAGTTTTTACTTAAAAATATAGAAATTTTTCTTAAAAAAACAAATTTAAAAATATAATTAATTTTTTTTTAAGTAAGCTGAAGTGATTTATTTCATTTTCAATCAAAAAGTTATTTCTGTGTTTCTGTATACATTATTAATTATGTAAAAAAAATATATAGGTAAAGCATCAAAAAAATATTCTTTTGTAGACCATATATAATAACAACGTTAAGTGCAAGCTTAATGAAACTATTTTAAGTGCTCAAGGTGGCAATTCATGCACAATCCGCCACCATTTTACTGAAAATCACATATATATATTAATGACATCGGCAGTTTGAAAACACTCCACATATCGTTTTTCTCTTCTGCTTCGTGACCTAAATTAAAAACAGAAAGAACTAGTAATTGATCAGAACATAGCAGAATTTGTTGATTGTGATCTACTTCTAATGAGTTTAGCAGAAGGTAATGGATTCCTTAGATTGTTGAAGTAAAGAGATCCTGACTATTTTGTTAAAGCTTGTTGATCTACCACAATACTGATCTAGAAAAATTACGATTAGGCATTTTATCACTGTTGTCATTCAATATCAGTCATTTTATCACTGTAACCAAAACTAGAATTGTCTCAGTAACTAAAATTAGGAATTACGCAGCTCGTAGCGTTTACCTCTTACACGAGAGCTAGTAATTAAAATATTTTCAGCAATGCAGGAACTGGGTAACAAACATACTGCACTTAAAATTTTTGATGAAAAATAATTTTTGAAGTTATCACAGACTGCTCTAGTCAATGGAATTTTACACCAAATGCGTTAAAGCTATTATTGAAGCTAGGTTGTGTAGTTGGAAGCGGGCTGTCTAATCAAAATTTAATAATAAAAAGAAATAAATTAACATTGCAAATGATAGATGAAATTGGTTACTTGAGCAAGCTATTAAATCAATTCTGAAACAAGTGAAGCTGGTAACAACTATTTCATTTTGGCATTATTAGTTGTTTTCCTTAGTCTATCCTCTGTTGTTTATTTTCTAATAAGTGCAAGGCAAAAAAATCTAAAAACAGCAAAATCAGACGAATGTACAAGAAAAAAATTTTTAAACGGAATTATATATTGTACTAACTAGGCCAAAAGCATCTGCACTAAATTCCTATTTTAAATTATCAAAAATCATTAAAAGGTCTATACGGGTATCCGCGGAATTAATGGGCGGATACCCTTTAAAAAACAAATACCTTATATAATAATTGTTCTCAGTGCTCGAAGAGCAGAAAAAAAAGTGACAGGATGGTATTCTGTATTTTAAAAATACCATGCAGCCTAATAATTGTTATATATAGAGATTTATAAAAAGGTGGCGAGATGGTTTATACTTAATAAAAAGGTGACAGGATGTCATCCCGCCGCATCCCGCCTGACTTAAAGCACTGATTGTTCTTATAAGCAGTTATTAATGTCACTTATTTAGAGCTATTCTTTATCACTTAAATTTAACTTTTGTTTTATTTAAAAGTGTTCAGATAAGTGTCTTGTCTCAAATACAGTTAAAAAATACTAGCATGGTATTATATTGTGTGCCAAAAATACACGCTGTCATTTTATCACATTCTAATATGAAAGCGCATTCTAATAGCCTTGAGGTTGCTTGTAAGCTCATGTACTTTGTGCGTTAAAAATAGGAAGGTTTATATAAAATTTTGTCTTACTTTGCCAAAAACTCTATGATGTTTTCGTGGACAGTCAATGGCAATTTTGAAAGATAAGATGCAAGTTCATTCACTGGTTAAATCCTTCTTCTGCTGTGCGCAGCAATTCTAAATATTTTTCTTTCGTTATAAATGGTTACAAATGGACTTATGCTCATTTTGGATTCAATTTTTCTGCTTACAACCTTTGAACTTTTAAACGGCATAAAAATAACTTCTATTTTAGCTTTATTAGTGGAATATAGTTCATTTTTAATTTAATTTTTAAAAGAATTTTTATAATTTCCAAACGTGGATCAAGTACAGACGCTTTTAGCTCAGTTAGTCCAATGTCAGTTAGTACAAATTCCCGTTAATAATTATTTGTTATTTCAGTAGCTATTACTTTTCTGCAAATTATGGATGCAGTGCATTTTTTTGGTTTTGCTGCTCGAACACTTTTTAGAACATCATGCAACAAAGGATAGACAAACAAAAGCGATTGATATTTTTGACCAGATGACATAGTTGCTACCTTCTTTAATAGTCGATAATTAGTATAATGGCTTGCAAAAGAAATCAGTTTACATCTATACTTTGCAGTATTGTTACTTACTGCAAAAAAAATAATGAGATTTTCTCCAGTGTGCTGTTCGAAACGTTCTTGTGCTTGTAAAAACGCGTTATCTAGCTCTCGTTTTGAGTTAACCCATGGCCCATATAAATATTGCGTTTATGTGATATGTTCAGATAAATATAGCGTTTATGTGCTTATGTGTTATGCGCAGACAAACATTGCGTTTATGTGTGTATACGCAATATTGGGATTACTGGTCCCTATATCAGAGGTAAATGTTACAAGCTGTGCATTCTTTAATTTCAGTTTCAGTGACTTACCTGTCTGATTTTATCTTCTCTATATCAGTATTGTGGTAGACAATAAAGCTTTTACAAAATATTTTGGGTTGAATAGTCTTTGTTTCAACAATCTAAGGAATCCACCACCTTACGATAAACATATTCTGTAAGTCTTTTCTGATCAATTACTAACTTTTTTTTTTAACCCGTGAAGCTTTAAAAAATAACGATATATGTGGTGTGTTCAAACTGTCGGTGTTATTAATATTTACATAATTTGTTCGATTAAAATAGTGAAAGATTGTGCTTCTGTTGCCACCCCTTCGCAGTTAAAATAGCCTAACAGAGCTTGCATTTAACATTTTTTAGTATATAGTTTGCATTAGACCAAATTTAATATGATTTTTCTATTTGTTTTTCCTAAATAGTTTTATTGGTTAATAATATGTTTTTGTGACAATTATTTAGAAGGTATAAAGAAGAAGAACTTGAAGGTATTAATAAGAAATAACTTACTTTAACTAAAAAGTTTATATAGGTTACAAACTAATCCCTGCTGATATCTATAACATTTTAGTTGTTTAAAAATAAAAAAGTAATTTTTTTAAACTCTTTTATTTTATTTTTTTTAACTTATACTATTTTAAGTAGAAACTAAAAATATTTTAAATATAATAATATGTTATGCCAAACTGAAACATTTATTTCATTAAAGAGCTTCAAAATATTTATATTTTTCATTTTTCAAGAATCAAAGGAGTTTGATCACGGAGAAAAGTTTACAAACGAGTTAGAAAAGTTTAGAGTTACGTAAAAGAAAACATTGTGCATAATGTGGGATTTATTATACAATTGTTGTACATTAATGGGTTTCTGATTTATAATAATTTTTCAGAACCAGAACAAGAACTTCTTGTTAATTAATTTGACTGTTGACTATATTGATTAATACATTTTTGAATTAAATCGTCTAAAAGTCGAAATATAAGAATAAATTTTTTTTTAATAATTTGTAATAATAATAATGTATTTTTTATGTTTGTTTTTGTTTTTTGTTTTTGTTATATAACTTTATTTTATAAGTAATGTTCGAGTAAGACAATATGAAACCCATTCTAACAACTGAAAAATTTCTTTTAAAATCTAATAAAATTAGGACTGCCTTAAATATTAATTATGTATTAAAGTCTATACATTCATATTTACGATGTGATTGCATAAATGAAACTAGTAATATTGAGCTTTATGCTTTAGTTTTCCATAGGAACCCGAGCCAGCTTAGAACAGTCATGTACGTATTTATAAAAAATACAGGCATAACAGTACATGTTATTGTTGTTAAATGAACAAAAATATATACGGACTTTAGGATTACTCGACTATATCAGACGATTAGATTTCCATTACCAATTAAATCAATTATTCAATTTTTTAAAGTTGACTAATTTTAATTTATATTATAGCAGGTCTTACTTGATTTAAATGTTTAATTTTTATTTTAATGTCAAGCTGGGGAACCAGATCAGTTTAATGCGAATGGCATGGCATTTAATAGTTGCAGCAATTGGTGGACAGATAATATCCAAACGAATGGTAATTGTGATAAAGATAAATTTCCAACGTCGACTAACTACATTTCGTATGGAGCAGCTGAACAGTTGGTTTCTATACAGTTCTTTTTACAAACAAATATGGAAAAGAAATAAAATAGTAAATGGTTAAATATTTATATTGGTTTTTTTACGAGTTGATTTATAAATTTGATTACGTTTAAAATATAGTTATGTTTATTTGTAAACAATTCTGCATTAGGAATTTTTAGCTAGAGCTTTTTTCCCAATAATTTAGTTTTGTTTTTTATTTTATTAAAAATATAAAAACAAACGAGTTTGTAGATTGATATCAGCTCATATCAAATTTTAACTGTATTAAGATATAGATGTGACTTTTTTTTTTGTATGTAACATTGTAACTATGTTTTGACACACTCAGTGGAAGATGCAGCACTTTATCACGTGTAATTTAGCTTACTTCTAGACACTAGGTATCAGTAAAAACTTTTTAAATGTTTATGTCTATAATATAAATGTATAATTATTTGCAGTTTGCTCCAGGTCTAAAAATCTCAAACACCAAAAATGTTGCATTCGTCAATAGATAAATAATCACATGGAGTGTGCATGGGATTATTTATCTATTTATATTTAAACTTTTGTTAATTATGAAGTATTTTATAATTATAGCGTGATAGAATGTAAAAGATTTTAGTTGAAAAATTGAAAAAAAGTAAATAGTTTTCTTTTTTTTTCCCTTCATTTCCATCGGAAGGTTTTCAAGTTAGTTGTATTAATATTTCATTTTCTAAATTACTGGTATGTTAGAGATTTCAAAATTGGGGCGTAAGATACGCATATACTCTAGAATTTAAACAAAAGAGCTGAAGTTTTACTTCATGTGTAACAAGAAAAAATAGTCCAAACTACAAAAGACTTTTAATTATTTTGTTTGAATTCAGTTTGTTTAATTATCTTCACATTTTATTTCAGTGTGTGAAGTTTTAGGTCTGATATTTGTAGGTTAAATAATACCTCTTTTAGCAAAATTATAATGTTCCTTTGCACCAGTTGAAATATGGCTTCTATTAAAATCATGTACTGAAAGATAATACGAGAATAAATAACATAGAAGATTAAATACTCTTTTTTTTTTATAAAAATTTAATTATAAAACACCAAACAATGGTGACACATATTTTCAAAAAATAATTGATACTTAATGCTTATATACATAAAGTATATTAAATAAGGTAAAGTAAAACACAACGGTACAGTTATGCCTGAAGCCTTATACTTTAGCTAAAAATGTTTTTTGATAAAACATTATAAATTATTATGCTTCATTATTGTAAAAAATAACTAATTTTAGAAAGACCAAAACGCAACAAAAGTACCAAAATGTGTTAGAAAGTTTGACAAAATTATTGTCTTGAACTATTATTAATTTGCTTGATTTTTAAAAGGTTTATGTTTTTCGGATAGTATTTTTTATTATCTTTTAGAATTTAGTTTTTAAAAAGTATTTGTTGTTGAACTTTTTGAATAGTATTAATTTTAGTAAAACGACAACAATTAATTTGTATAATTAACAATATTATTACAGTTTGGTAGCGCTAGTTTTAATATTTTTTTATCTAAAATACAATTTACCTTATTTAAAAAACAATAAATGCAAAGAGTTTCTTATTTTCATAACTATTTTTATTAAATTATATAGTTTTATGTTATCAATTATTGTAAGAACTTTTATAAGAAAGATCAATCATCCAAATTGGGTTAAAATGCAATTTTAGCTATGAGTAAAAAAGAATTAGAACTAAAAATTTGCTGGTACATATAGCATTTTAATGTTTTAGCTCTACATTGGCATATTGCTAATAAGTCAGTCCATCAAAAACGTTGGCAATTAGTTTCAGTGTATTTTTTTGTAATCCATATTATATATAATATTCGTTGTTTGATTTTTAACTTAGTAGTAGTAACCAATTTATTATTATATAGGTTAGAGTAGAAAGGAGGTATTTTATAATAAAATATAAAATTTTTTAGTTTTTTTTATTTTAGTTGTTATTTTTTTTTTTTTTTTGTGGCGTATGGTTGTAGTTTCAATCGCTTAATTTTTTAAGAGTTTAATAACAGAACATGTTTAAACAATATGTAGACTTTATTTTTTATCATATTTAGAGCTTTACAATTATCAATTAACTGCTGAATATTAACTGTCCCGTTTTACCTGATCCACTAGCAAAATGTAAAAAGTTTGCTAGTCTAGAGTTACGTTTTTGTGGTTGTTGTAGATTTATTTTAGATTGTTTTTGTTTTGTTTTTGTTCGTTTAATCTTTTAATCAATGACATAATAATTAAAAGAGAATCGACAATAAACTTCCTAGGAGTAATTTTAGATGAAATACTGTCATGGAAATTTCTTCTTAAATATATTGAAAGTAAAATATCAAAAAGTAAAAAATTAATAAAGCATTATTAAAAAAATTATATTACTTGTTTATACACAATTAGTTATCTTACAGTACAAGTCACACAAAACTAAAACTAATTTAGAGTAAACAAAAACATGCTTGCAGGGTAATATTTGGGGCAAATATAAATGCATATTGCGAGCATCTTTTGCGTGAGCTTGGAGCCTAAAATATTTTTAAGCTTAACAATCATCAAGTGATGCTATTTATGTTTAAAGCAAAGCGTGGTTTATCGCCAGTAACATTTCAATCTTACTTTAATGAAGTTTCTCATGAATATCCTACTAAACTTTCAGAAAATAACTTTGTTATTCCATAACCAATCTTAAAATAAGTTCTTACCATATTCAATATCGTAGACCTTTTGTTTGGAAAAATTTTTTTCGTGATAATGATAAACTAGAATTCGTCTTAACTGCATAATGGAAATGTTTAAAGCTGATTTAAAGCGGCATTTACAAAATATGTACTTTGATATATTAGAATTCAAATAGATATTTTGAAAACAATTTAATTGTTTAAATCAAAAATGTTTTAAATCTGTAATACGTTTGTTTAACTCTTTTACTGTTGTACATTTCTTTAACTATTTTACTTTACTTTTTCTTTAACTTTTTTACTACGTTTCTTGTTTGTTTTTTTTCATTTTGTTTGTTTTTGTTGTATTTTTGTTGTTATTAAATAATTAGTAATAAGTTTTTTCCTATATTTCACTATTTGTGATAAAACACAATGCCATTTTTGTGGATTGATAACTTCTTGGTTACCAATCTTTTGATTTTTTTTATTACTTCAATTATTCCGTTCAAATATTTTTTTAAAAATTTTATATTTTTCATTTTGAAAGCTTTTTTATTTATTTCCGCTGAGTTCTATAATGGAATTTCCATTATAGAAATCAGCGGTTATTCCATTCCATTCCAGGAATGTTTACTATTTTAACCATGCGCACGTGGAACGCTTTGTGAATAGGAAATATAAAAAATATAAAAAACTAATGCAAACTGAATGCAAATAGAAAATTACTATAAGAAAATTGAAACTTTAGATAATTTTTATTAAAAAAAAAATTGTGCGATTTCAATTAAGAACTAATAATCAATATTTTATTTCTTATGAATTCATTTACTTTAAATTCAAGAAACATATGAAATGTCCCAAAAGGTATTCGAAGAGTTCAGTACCGGCGTACGAATTGACGAAAATTCTGTGTGGTTTTATTTTCTACGTGATAAAGAAAATCAACTTGCAAAGTGTAAGAAATGCAGCAAAGAGATAAAATCAAATGGTGGCAGTACCAGTGGACTGCATACACATCTAAGAACTAACCATAAAATTGACTTACTGAAAAGAAAATTGATCCAAGATTCAGCATCGACATCGGTTTCGTTTCCATTGGCACCGTTGCCAACGGCCAAAAAACCCAAACCTCAGATCACCGACTTCTTACAAAATCAACACGACAATTCCTTGCCTGCAGTTTTTTCTAGATTGACTGCCCTTGATGGACTACCTTTTAGCGTATTTGTCGCGTCAGCAGAGCTGAAAACATCGCTACAAGCTCGTGGGTTTGTTGTTCCAAAATCGGCGACGACAATTCGCAATATGGTAGTTAAATACACAGACACGATCAAAGAAACTGTAATATCTAAGTTTAATAACATCCGATCACAAGGGATGCGATTCAGTTTGACATTTGACGAATGGACATCAATTAAAAACCGCAGATATTTAAATGTATACGTTCACACCGCGGACGAATTTTGGAGCCTTGGATTACCTAGAGTTGTTGGTTTTATGCCTGCAGAAAATTGCATTGATTTAATTCAAAAAGTATTGACACAGTTTATCCTGAACTATGATGAAGACATTGTGTGTATTACTACTGATGGAGCTTCCGTAATGCAGAAGGTGGGGCGTTTGAGTAATTGTGAACAACAGTTGTGCATTGTGCATGGCATACAACTGGGTGTTTAAGAAGTTTTGTACAAAAAACAGTCAACTTGTGCAAAAAAAAGCTTGAAAGTAATCTGCAATTACAACAACATCAGTGAAAGTGATGAGGGTATTTGCACTGACGATGATACAAACAAAACCAATGACGACGAAGAAGACTTTTCCGGCGGGTTTCAAGTTGTAATGAGTGAAAAAGATGACCTTATTGAAATGACTGATAAATTAGCGCCGTTAATCACTAAGGTGCGCACCGTTGTAAAATTGTTTCGCTGTTCTCCGACAAAAATTGATCAAACACTTCAAAAATACACAGTAGAGGAATTTGGTAAAGGCCTTTCGTTGATACTTGACTCCAAAACTCGCTGGAGTAGCTTACACACAATGCTCGAACATTTTTCGAAATTAAAAAACTGTGTTCGCAAGTCGCTGATTGACCTTGAATCCAAAATTGAAATAACTGATAAGGAGTTCAATTCAATTTTAGATGTTGTTTCCTGTCTTGCGCCAGTAAAATTAACTGTGGAAGCATTGTGTCGAAATGATGCAACACTGTTATCAGCCGATGCAACACTAATGTTCATGATAAATAACATTGGAGACACAGATTTAGCTGTTAAGTTAAAAGCTACTTTAGTGCGACGAATCAATGAGCGACGTACAACTTTTTCCAGCTTACTGCACTATCTGCACAAGGGTCATCAATGTTACGAAAATTTGGATCCAGCGCTATCTTTCGAACACCTTCGCAAATCGGCCATTGTAAATATTATTGCTCGACTGAATGATCGGCTCAGTCAGCGAGCTTATAATCTTTTCACCAGCGTATCTTCTGATAGCGATTCTGCTGACAACACTGCAAACTTGTCATTATAAGAAAAGCTTGACGTGGCAATTTTAAATAATAGGAAATGTAACAATAAGGAAAGAATGAACGTTTCGAATAATTTATCAAAAACCATACGCAATGAGATGGTAGTTTTCGAAGATGAAGGAACTCGCGGTGTATATTTGCAAAATTCATACGAATACTTGAAAACTGTAAAGCCAACAAGTGTTGAATCGGAGCGTGGATTTTCAGCAAGTGGCAACATTGTAACAAAATTACGATCATCTCTTGAAGATGATACTCTGAATGCACTATGTTTCTTACGGGCATACTTTACAAAGGAGAAAAAAGTAAAGAATGAAAAAGTTTGTAATTTTGATATAAAATAAAATAGCATTTTGAATCAAAGAAGTTTTACTATTTACTTGAGATTTTATTCATATTATGATTAATTAAAATAATAAAAATAATACCG